GTGTGTGCTACCATGCCTGGCTAATTTTTTGTAGAGAGAGTCTTGCTATGTTGCCCAGGCTGTCTCGAACACCTGGCCCCAAGCAATCCTACCACCTTGACCTTCCAAAGTGCTGGGATTACCAGTTTGAGCCACCTCACCTGGCCTGCAAATGTAAAATAAAAAAATAAACAAACACCTCCTCCAGCTCCCTTTCCTCAGCCCCTCCACTGCTAGTACCAGTATCTGCATGCTAGGTTTTCATCCCTGGACTGAGGAGTTTAAATGCTTTAACTTATTTATTCTTCATGATAAGCCTATGAGGTAGACACTATTGTTACCTCCCTTTTACAGGAGAGGAAATTGAAGTGGCCTGGCCTTGGGAACTGCCCTGAGATCACACAGCAGCCCATGCTGCCTTCAGTCCAAGCTTCCTCTCTGGAATCCCAACCCTTCCCTCAGGAGGTTGGCTTTAAGGCCATACTTTCTAAACCACTGTCTTTTTTTTTTTTTTGGATATAGAGCTTCATTCTTTTTGCCTAGACTGGAGTGAAGTGGCATGATCTCAGCTCACTGCAACTTCTGCCTCCCAGGTTTAAGTGATTCTCCTGCCTCAGCCTCCCAAGTAGCTGGGATTACAGGTGCCCACTCCCTCACCCAGCTAATTTTTGTATTTTTAGTAGAGACGGGGTTTCACCATGTTGGCCAGGCTGGTCTTGAACTCCTGACCTCAGGTGATCCACCCGCCCTGGCTTCCCAAAGTAGTAGGATTGCAGGTGTGAGCCACTGCGCCCAGCCTAAACTACTCTCCAAAAACATTAATATCTTTTTTTTTATTCTTTCTTTTTCTATTAATTTATGGGGAAAAATAGAACCAATTTATATTTACAACTTTAATTACATGTTTATTTCCCCAAATCATCAAAATCTGAAATGGTCCCCAAACCCCTTAGTTAGTAGATGCAGTGAAGGAAGGAGGCTCAGAGTTCTAACAGACGAGGGTTGCAGGCCTCTGTTTTTACATCACTTTGCTATTTTGATCCTCTAATCCATATAGTTTT